AGGAACCTGGCACGCCGGGACCACGTGGCACACAGACTTCCCCACCCGTGCTGGTGGGAGACGTGGCCGTCGGGTCTCCGCTTGCCTGTGGCTGGGGCCGCTTCTCTGTTGTCCTGAGCGTGGGGGACGGGCAGGAGGACGTGTCATGCGCCAGCTCCCCCAGGCCCCGCACACTCCGGAATCCCAGTGGAGCCCAGCGATGCTCAGGAGAGGGACAGGAACTCCAGGAAGACCCCACAGGGCCCGATGTTTCCGCCCGACACTGGCACCTGCCAGCCCTCTCCAGGAACAGAGGGGTGCGGCTGACAGTTGCACGAATCATGTCCTTTATTTTCTCTATTTTAGGATGTTTTGACAGCTTACAGAGCTTGCCAGCCTGGCCAGGGGAGGCTGCCCCTCCCAGGAACGACCAAATCTGAGATGGCAGCGGGTGTGGCCGGGGGCCCCGACTGTCCTATGCAGACAGACCCCTCCTGACCTCACTCCCCTGAACCACTGCAGCCAGGTCCAGGCAACAGAGACCAGCGTAGCAGCCCAGGGCCAGCGGCATCATCTGAGGAGCCGGCGCTACGCTGCTGCCTGCGCCCCGCCCGGCCTTGCCAGGGAAACCGCCACAAAGGCTCTGGCCCCGCTTCCTCTCGCTCTTGTCCCCACCACCCTGGCATTTCCCCTGCGGCCCCGCATGGTGTGTGGCAACCCCCTCGCTGGGCCCTGTGAGCTTCTTCCTTCCTCCCGTGGCCACGCCACTACCATGCCACACCCAGCCTGGCCGTCCTGGGAGCCTCAGGCCTGTCTGGGAAGCAGGGTGGCCGAGCGGCCACAGCCTGGCTGGCCGGGGAGGGACAGAGGAGGCACCTGGGGGAGGAGGAGACACCCCACTTAGAAATTCCGCCCTGGAGGGAACCTCAGGAGCCACCGTGATCGACTCCTCGTTTAACGGTTGGAGACGCAGGCCCTGGGCCCCGCAGGCTCTGAAGCTCCTGGTCTCCCAGGGGAACTCACCCGGTGTCCCGCTCCGGCAGACGGAAAAGCAACCGAGGCGCAGACTTCAGGAGGACTGGCGTTTTCCACGATTTATTTCATCTCAGCGTAAACTGACTTACGTACAAGGTTTTACAGTATTTATGCCCAGGATTTAAGAACTCAAGCGTTAATAAATACATTAACTACACACACAGTAACAGCTGGCCTGAACTTTGCCTTAAACAGGTATAGTTGATCATTAATAAATGGCAACATCTGAGTGCTATTTAGAGCTTTAACAAGCTTTGGAGGAGCTCTAATCTCACATTAGAACACATCTAGCTTTTCAGGTCAGGTTAATTCAAACCAGTTCACTCTGCATGATTCAAGCACCTGCCGGCACAGGCTTCCGAGCTCGGCGCTTGAACGCACGACGCCGTCTGGCTCCTTCCTGGATGCGGAGAAAGTGTAAAAGATGCGGCGGCTGAAATAAATCCGGATGCGACTGAAACATCTGCAGATTTCCACTTTTAGCTCACGTTATTACCTTATGAATAATAATATTGCAGAAAAAAGGGGAAATGCAAACATTGATTATTTAACCCCAAAATATAACTTTTTATAAGCCGGGAAAGCATCCAAAATGGCAACACAAAAGAACACTTTTTTTTACATTTGTCCTCCTAAAATGTTACAGCAGATTAGGTCCTGAATCTATCTTGACTTTAGGAATGGAGAAATGAACCTCCAAACCAGACAATTTCAAAACCTTTTACAGGAAGTTACCTAAGAGGCCAACGGATTCCACAGCTGCCACCAGAATTACTAGAGTGACACCAGAAAGGGACAGAAATGGAACAGGTGATTCACATCTTGCTTCAGTACTTGCAGCGAAACCGACACAGGTTAAGAGTTTTAACTAAGTAGTGGAAAGATTTGCACGGCATTCGTTCTCTTAGAGGAAAAGAAACAGGTGCCACCACAGACGCAGAAATCAAACCACCAAGTTCCAAGTCCGAGCTCTATAAAGCTGCCAAGCCCTGGAGTTCAGGGTTGTTTCCAAGACAAAGAATAAAAACAGAAAGAACATGACCCAGTCTGAAGCTCATTCCTTTGGGTTCCAAATGAACCTTGATCGACAGTACGAAAGTCACCGCTCGTCAGGTAACGAAAACAAGTTTTCATGCACACCACATTCTCCCCACAAAACACCGCTGTTCTTTGAAATATCTGGAAACGTCAGCGTGCATGGGTTAATTTGACGAAAATTATAGATGGTTGTCGTGAAGGCATTAGCCTCATGTGACTCTGAACTGATTGATAATCAGGAATATTTTTCAGCAACCGTTTTCCTAAACGGTGTTGGGCGCAGACTTAGAACACCACGTCGAATCTGGAAAGATGCCACAGCGCAGCATCAGACTTCCAGGGGCGAGTCTCAGCGATGACTGGTGACCCCCAGCAGTCCCCAAAACAGAGACCTTGCAGGGGGCGGCTTTTCCATTTGTGTAATGGATCAAACAGGGGTGGCTCCGCCCCCCAGGTACCTGCCCCAAAAAGCAAAAACTGGTGCTCAGAACATGTCAGGTCCTCTAGTGTCTGCTTTCATGTCATATTACTATTTAGAAACATGACATATAATATGCTATATGTTTCCAGAATGGGCTGGCTAGACATCCACTAACGGTTGGTAGTAATTTCTTTTCCTTATTCTTCAGGTTTCTCTGTATATTTCATTATGCCAAGAGGATGGAAGTACCTGGCACTTTGCTGCCAGGTACCGTCGGAAAAGATGCCGTGTGGAGTGTAGGCATGTCTTCACTAAATGAGATGCTAGAATAACACGCAGAAACTCCCATCACGCGTGTTCCTGTGCGGCTGCCCACATCTGACATCCACCACTTCTCGTGTCTTCTCAAGGGGACAATTCTATCCTGGAGGCCCAATGTCACCGTTGTATTTTCATACAAAAAACATCACAGAAATGATCTTGCAAGTAAAATCACAGTGATAGCGTTCTATGAATTTGATATTTAAGGGATGAAAATATTAGCCTGGGATGAAAGTATTAGCCTAGTCCCATTTCATATAAAAACTTTAGCATTAATATTAAAATTCTAGAGAAAATGTACTACAATATGAAATGTACATTTCTTAAAAGAACATTACATTATTTGTTTCTTTTGCTATAAGTACTTTTTCTACTACCATTTCTCCTGTATGCTCCTATGAAAGACCAACGAAGTCAGGCAATATGAAGTCTGTTATTCTTTCCTAAGACAATTCACCAAGTTGCCAAGCTATCCGCTGGGTGCATGAGTAATTGTGAACAAGTGCACAGGTAGCCAGAATATACTCTCACGGAAACCACAAGTTCTACACTCCTGGATCATGCATCAGATTCAAGCTGATCATTCCTAAATACACTTAACTGAAACCTTTTACAACCACAAACTCTTTAAAAACCATAACCTATTTTTCAATGACCCACTCATTTCTACAGCAATGGAAATGCCCGTCAATGATTAAGAAGAAAATAACATTAAGGTGTTCGTGATTTCTTCTAATTATGTTCCAGTAACTTTTCAACGTGTACTTTTCCCATTATACGAAAATGGATTGGATTCGGAAACCAAACCAGTTTGCATCTCTTTGCAAGAATTTCATCCTTCAACTCTTGATAAGTGGTAAGTCCTGTCTGCACATATTTGAAAAGTCAAATATCCTATTAAATGAGGAAAGATCAAGTGGTTTGTTTTTAATCCTTGCACCCCTCAAAGTAGTGAGTCCCATGTTAATTCTACTGGGGTATGTTGGAATTCACAATTACACAAATGTGGTCCATTTGCTGAACTACAATAAAAATGCATGTTATTTCCCTGTTGTGTTCTTCGAACATGCCCGTTGTCACCGGGGCCACATTCTCTGGGCTGTAAAAGTTAATCTCCCTCATCACAGTTACATAATACATATTTAAAACATCATAAATAGTAGGTTCAAAATGTGCCTGCAATTCTGTTTTTAGAATTGCCAAAAATGAATGATTTTAAGCTTTTTTTTTTAAGGAATATTTCATTTCATCTCATTCTAAGCTATGAAAATGGCTGAGTGGATTCGGTGGATGGTCAGAGATTCCTTTTAAGGTAGCCAAGACCTTCGTCGGTAACTTTTTCCTATTTATGACATGCTATTTGGTAACATCTGGTCACCAAAGACTTAAAATAACAAATCATCACTGTATCGCTGGCCAAAGTTATTAACAACCCTTGACCTGAAAACATGGAATCCATCTCGAACAGTGAGGCGGGACTGCCCTTGGGCCTGTGAGCGTTTGGGGACCTGCGGTGTCATCGGCACCTCACAGGGAACAACTTCCAGTGTTTATTGGACGGGAGCTCTTACTGGCAATCAAAGATTTGACCTTCGATGTTTATTAAATTACTCTTTTTGGAGTTAAGCCAACCAAAACGAGTACATAGTAGCATGAGCTTTTAAACTAAACTAGAAAGAGCTTCACTTATCAGTGATAATTTTAAACCTCAAGCCAAAGAAAAAGACGTGTGACCTCTCAGTGGCTCCACTGTTAGCTCAGGCTGGCCTACTTCTCGGGTCCCAAGACGGGCGCGGCGGCCCCGGGGACCCGCGTGGCTTTCTAAGTCAGGCCTCCTGTCCCCCCTCGGGAGCCCCGGTGCCCAGGAGCGCGCCTAGGGACACCCGGGACCCGCGCCCCGAGGCCTCGTCTTCTGACTGCGTCCCTGTCGCATCTGCAAGGTTATCGGCTCGCCCAGACCCTCCGTCTCACGCCACCGGCCCGTTAAGCAACACAAGCAGAAAGGAACGCAGACTACGGAGGTGACAGTGTCCCAGGGCTACCTCCAAAGCGGCTAAGCGACCCACGCTGGCCAGCGCCCGCCCCACGCCTCCCCCTCCTCTCCTCCGCCCCCGTCGCCCTCCCCTTCCCGCCGAACCTCAGCCCAGGGGGCGGCTCCTTGGGCCCAGAGCTGCCGAGGGAGATGCCCCGCTGAGCCCGGCCCGGCCTACGCGGCGCCCTGCTCCCCTCTGTCCGGCTTCTCCGGCAGGTTGAGCACGAACGGGAAGAGCGCGGCGCGGGCGTCCACGGGGGTCCCGGGGGCCTCGGGCTGGAAGCTGCCGCCCAGGCCCGCCTCGCCGCCGGGCTCCGCGTCCTGGGCGGGCACGAAGCGCCAGGTGCCCGCGCGGCTCACGCAGTAGATGGTGCCGTCCAGCGCGGCGCAGCGGAAGGGCTGCAGGCCCGCGGGGGTGCCCGGCGGCCGCAGGAGCGCGGCGCCCTGGCTCCACTGCTTGGCCAGGCAGTGGTAGCGCGAGACCCGGACGCCGCCGCCCGGCCCGGCCGCCGCCTGGGCGTCGCCGCGGCCCCCGCACAGGTCGAAGCGGTAGATGAAGCCGTCGAGGGCCACCATGTCGGCCGAGCGCTCGCGGCTGGCGCTGCACGGGCACTCCTGCCACTCGTCGCGCCGCGGGTCGTACTTGAGCAGGCGGTAGAAGAGCGAGCCCCCGGACACGTAGATCTCGCCGTTGCACGTGGCCGCCTCGTGGGCCACGGCGAAGGCGCCCCGGGGCAGCGGCGCCACTGCGGCCCAGCGGTCGGCGCGCGGGTCGTAGCGCTCCACGCTGAGCAGGCACTCGCCGCCCACGGCGTACAGGTGGCCGTCCAGGGCCAGCAGCTGCAGCTGCGAGCGCGCCTGGCGCAGCGGCCGCACGGTGCTCCAGCGGTCGGTGGCCGGGTTGTAGCAGAAGACCTGGTCGGACGGGCGCGCGCGGCCGTCGGGGCCCGCGGGCGCCACGCCGCCCGCCACGAAGAGGTAGTTGTAGAGCACGCACAGGCTGCAGCCCCGCGCCGGCGCGCCCTCGGGCAGCCGCGTCAGCTCGCGCCACTCGCCGGCCTCCGCGTGGTAGCAGTAGACGGCCGCGTCGCCGCGCGCGTCCGTGTCCCCCGAGGGGCTCTGCGGCCGGCTGCCGGCGCGCTCCCCCGACGGCCCGAGCGCCGCGGCCAGCAGGCGGGCGCGGCCGGCGCGCAGGCGGCGGCGCAGCAGCAGGTCGCGCTCGGCGCCCGACAGGCGCCCGAACACGGCGGGCTCGCGCAGCACCTCCAGGTAGTGGTCGCTCATGAAGCGGTACGCGGCGTCGCGCAGCTCCGACAGCCGCTGCCGCTTGGCCGCGCTCAGCACCTCGTAGCAGTTGGCCAGGCTCAGCTGCGGGCCCACGGCGTCGGTGGCGCGCTGCGCGGCGCCGGGCAGCTGCAGGCGGCGCGCGCCGGCCACCACCTCGGCCACGTTGTCGGGCCGCACGCCCGCCATGCGCCCGCTGTACGCGTCGGCCAGCAGCAGCCGCAGCGCCGCCAGGCTCACGCCCTGCACCCGCAGCACGTCCCGCGACGCGCGCGCGCGGAAGAAGTCGCTGCGCGCCGCCAGCACCGCCTTGTGCGCGCGGAGCCGGCGGCCCGACACCTCGATGACCAGGTCGGGCTCCCCGTAGGCGGCCGCCGCCCCGGGCGGCACAGGCGCGGGCTCCGCGGGGTCCTCCAAGCACTCGGGCTCCCCGGGACGCGCGCGCTCCTGCGGGGACGCGGGCTCTTCCGGGAATGCGCGCTCCTCAGGACACCCGGCCTCTTCCGGGGACCCGGCGCCCGCGCCGCCCGCCTCCCACTGCCGACCCACCCCCCGCTGGCGACACGGGGGCGGGGAGGTCGCGGCGTCCTCCGCCGCGGAGGCGCGAGACCGCGGCGGGGAGTCGTCCCCGGAGCTGAAGCACAGGGACGCGCTGAGGCTGCAGGGTGTCTGCGCCGGGGACGCGGCGCCCGCCCCCCCGGCCGCGCCCGGTGGCTGCGGGCCGCCCTCTCCCGGAGTCCCGGCCTGGCCGCGCGCGCCGTGGGCAAAGGCGCCCCCGGGCTCGGCCCCGCGGACGCGGTCGTCCCCCGGGTAGAGGACGCAGGGGGCCACCGAGTTCTCCATGGGAGGCCTGTGTCGCCGCCGCCCCCACGCCCACGTCCCGCGTGGCAGCCCCGCAGGTCCGCTCAAGGTCGGTGGAGACGCGGGGGCTCTGGCCGCGCACGCCTTCCTGGCACGCGATCGGATTTCACTTGTGTGTCCAGGGTTTTTTGTTTTCGTCCGCCCGCCGCCCCTGCTCGCCCGGCCCACTCTCCCGGGAGGGGGGCGTGTCCAACCCTGGCAGAACCGGGGCCGCAGTGACCGTACCCTGGCTGTGCGCTCGGGTGTCCGCGCCAGCAACTGCGTCGTCAGCACCGGGGCGGGCGCGGAGCGGTGACCGCTGCCTGACTGCGGCTCTGCCCCCGCAGCGCTGGGGGGTCCGGGGTATGCAGCGCGCTGGGCAGGCCCGGGCCTTTAGCGGGTGTTTGCCCCGCACCGCTTTCTGTGCTACCACGCTGGTCCCCCAGGACCAGCCAACCCGAGACCCGAGGCCCAAACTTCAGGGCCTTGACTTGAAGCCCATTTTCTGTGGAGAGCCGCCGGGGGGGCTTTGCTTCCTGGCGGTTAACCTGGAGGTCGGCTGCAGGACGTCTGTCTCGCGCCCCCGCACCTGCAGTCCCGCCCTGCGTCTGCGCCCTGGCTGCGCGCCGGGCATCCGTGGGTCACCTGCAGGCGGGCGGGGGACCCTCCTCAGGCATCAGCCGGGAGCCTTCCTCTGCCGCTTCCTCTGCGGGGGTAGCAGGTGTTTCCACAGCAGTCCGCCATGCTTTCCTTGTTCCTGTTTATGGGACAAAGAGAGAGGATGTCGGAATTGGGTTTTTTCAGCACGGTCATTGCGTGTCAGTGGGGTCTACACACCTCCCTCCCGACCTTCAGATTATGGAATCCAGTTCTGGTGGCAAAGGGGACTGTGATTTTCCACTGCTGCAGAGTGTGGTGACCGGGACTCCTGGAATTATTTAGGCATTTTTCAAAAGTGCCTTCTCTTCCTCTCCTGATTTCCAGGACCAGGAAGGAGAGCCCAGTTCGAGCCACAGGCAGTGCCAGACATTATGGCCTTGATATTTAGGTTGGACCACATGACATTGCTAGTTCTGTAGGTCAAAAGCAGCCAAGCGTCAACAATCTCGTATTTTCAACCTAAAAAAAAAGTACACATAGAATCAAGAACTCCTGTTAGTGAGAAAGCATGGCTGCCTGTGTAATTTTATTAACATGTGACAGTTTCCTTTTGGTCTTTTCTAGTCGATTTTTTCAAATTCAGTCACAACAAATATTTGCAGAAAGGTGCTAGCACACTTCCCTGGAGTCGGCCTCAGCCAATAGCTTATGTTACACACTCCGAATGGCTCCAACTCCAAAACCCGTTTGAACTGGTCATTCCTAGAATTACATCTCTGGCAAACCTCAGAGCAGCAGTGATCCAAGCAGCCTAAATGCAGCAGAGGAAAAGTCAGAGCAAAAAGGCTGCAGTGTCTGGAGGACAGACGTGAGCACGTGCAGATGGATCACACAATCATTCCGCGTCTTCCCTAACCTCCCTAGTGTAGTGGGAGGAAACTTAGAGGCCTTAGAGTCAACATGAGCCAAACTGTATTCTAGCTTTCTCGAGAAAAGAATGTGGAGAAGGAAAACACACAAAGTAGGACTCAGGCTTATTATACAGATGTGTGTTCACCTCTCAAATGAGATAAAGTGATATTTAGCCCCTTCCCGGAACCTGTTCTGATGCTCTACTTATACAGGGTACCATTGCCTGGTCCCTGTAAACGCTCAGGGGTGTGTGTGTGTGGAGATATATATGTATATGGATATGGATGTATTTTTATATATCTCAATCTTCATACACACACATCCCCAGTGTGCCTGCCACTGAAAAGGCTCTCCTGTTATTCTCAGAAATAAAAATGTCTTCCAGTTGGAAATTCAAGACATCCAACCCCCTCCGCCCCTCTCTCTG